ATACTGATGATACAATGTTTTGGCTGGGGCAGAATGATTAGGACAATTATTTTAAAATGACTCTTTTTTTATGTAACAACTATCAAAAACTATATTTATTACTAGCTTTATGGCTTACCTCTTAAAGATGACAATATTATACTGTAGGGAGAACAACGGGAACTTAGTAAGTACTTGCTGAATTGAACTGCTATCGGGAGACCAGCGTCCAGAGAGACTAGTTAATCATTGACTAAATGGTTTTTTTTTTTTTTCTGTTAAATATGGGAGAAACTGCACCTGTTTACTTCCCAATGATTTAAGGAGCTCAACTAGGAAGACTGATGTGAGGCCATTTAGAATAAAGAGTACCTAACTCGCACTACAAATATTATTGAGTAGCCATTGGGAGCAAGGCATTGTGACAGATGCTATAATGAGATTGAGCACAATCTACTCTATGCCAATTGGAACCACAGTTTCATAAAACATGGAAGTTAGGGGCATAGCGCTTACACATGGATGGAGTCGACGATAAACAGCCACAGATCAGTGAGAACGGTAATAGTTTACAATGACGGGATGGGCTTACTATCAAAAAGGAGCAAATCACTGACTGTCCAACCACAATGTAAGGGCCAAACTACATAGACCTTTGAATAGATGCAGTCATGTGAAACACCTACCCAATTTTTAAGATTCAGTATTTAATAAAAGAATACAAGTGTGTCCGTTTTTAGTATGAATTACATGTTAAATGATATTATTTTGAATATACTGAGTTAAATAAAACATTTAAATGCATGTCACACTTTAATTATTACTTTTTAATGTGGCTACTAGAAAATGTAATATTACTATGAAGCCTGAGTGATATTCTTACTGAGCACTGCTGTTCTAGAAGGCTATCCTGAAACCAAAACAGAAGTCCGGGCAGTGCACGGTTCTGAAAGGGCTGCTCGCGTGTATGCTGCTGCCTTTGTGCAGCAAAGGCACAAGTGGACCAGAGACACAGCAGAGAATGAACCAAGGGTTACTGAAACCATGAATTACAAAAATTCTGATGGCTCTCACACGGGAACATAGTCAGGAGAAACATGGACAGGATGGCCGGCGATTCCAAAGTGACTGGACTGGAAACTAAAGGAAGTAGAAGGGACAACTGCTGCCTTCCTCCAGCAGAAGCACAAATATTTGAAGGAGAAATGAGATAAAATGCCTGTTAGAACTGAAGTCCAATCTACGTCCCCCACTTTCTCTCCAGTCACCAGTGAATGCGTCACACACAAGCTCCATCTGTAAGGGTTTATCAGCGGGTAGAACTCCTTAGTGTACCTCAACCAAACCATGTAATATTAAGGCTCCATTTACACATTTTATCTCCAATATATGGCCACAAAAAAACTAAGAATCTCTAGGCCCTCAAATTATAAACCAGAATACTGAAGGTACCTGGAGGGATTCAACTGCACAAGCTCTGAGAAAAGCCCTATTGTCTACCTGAACTTTTAGCATCCCACCCAGTACTGGTCACACTGCAAATGCCCAATAAATTCACTGCATACATCAAAAATGGTAGTTTATTGGAAGGTTAGCAGTCCACACCTACACAATGTGGAAAAGGCAAAGAGCAGAAGCTGTAGACTGGCAGGCTCAGCATTGTGGACGGATGATCAAACACACAGGGTGAGTACTCAGACATAAAGAGCTGGGAGCTAACAAGCTCTCCTAAAATCAAGTGATGCCAGATGGGACTCATATTTTTTCACCCTGCCTCTACATGTGCAGAGGATGTCTTAAACAGAGTAAATCTTGACTTTCATCAGATCTTTGACCTTTCATAAGTCTTTTGTTACACATTTAAAATGTGGAGAAACAGCAGGCATGATATCAGCAGTTTTAAGACTCTTATAAGTAAAGGAATCATAAAGAAAGACTGGTGTTTGAGAAACTGAGGTCAGCATGAGGAAATCCTTCAGGCGTGTTTTAGGGGTTCCTGCACAGCAACTTCTTCTGCAGCGGGTTGAGGGAAGCAGGACCGCACACAGGTGGGTAGCATAAAGGTGGAGGAATCATAGTAGTTCAGAAGACCCTATTATTAGGGGCTATGAGAACACAGTATCTGAAAACAGCGTGATGAATCTAACAGGAAGAAATGTAGTGGTATAATAAAGTATACAAATAAATCATAATTAGAAATAAAAACGCACAACCATGAAGTTTAGGAGGAGGCAGACCAAGTCTGGTGGTGGCTCAGATGTTTATGGGTCATGCCCGCACGGAGTGAAAGCTGTGGAAAGCCAGTGGGGTGTCAAGCTGCATCAGGAGAAATGTAGGAATGCAGCTTGTTCTGAGTTCTCTCATATCCGTGCCAGCCAGTCCGCATTTGGGACCTCATGGCAAGAGGAATGCTGGGAAACAAAGGAGGACAGCAAGCAGGAACAAAGGAAGGGATTAAAGAAGCTTTCAGATGAAGGGAAAGCTTACAAATGATAAACTAGAAATCTTCACATTCTTAAGACTTTTCAATTAGAACTGGTAGCATATACTGAATCTCTTTTCCAATGGCACGTTTTTAAGGAGGGTAGAGGTCCCAGATCTCTTTGAGAATCTGATAAAGCCATGGGCCAGCCACTCCCAGGAAAAACATTACACACATACATGTTTTCATACAATTTTCGGGGGTTCTAAAGCAGAGTTAGAACTACTCTAGCTTAGAAGTTAGAAGGACCCAGGTTTCTGTTTCGCAATAAGAAACTATTTCTCCTTTGACTTATAAAGCAATACTTCTGACCAGGAAATTGACAGAAAGATTCCTAATCTGGGAAGAGGGAGTGGGAGAAGAATGTGCAGCCGGTAACCCACAGAGTCCCTCCCAATTCTAAGATTTCTCCCACCTAAAAGGAACTTTTGAACAATTTCACAGTATTAACGAAAATATTTGAAACACTATTTGTTGTTGTCATTCACATTATAATTTTAAATACTAACAATAGCCATTACACTCTAGTCATTGAAACAGGGTGAAAACAAATGTCATCCAGGCACTAACATGACTTACAGACACATCTAAAAACTACAGGTGGCCAGCTACACCCGGGTGCACAACTACAAAGGTGGCAGGAATATAAGTCATTTCTCGCATTACAAACAATAAAATATTTCTCTTCTCAGGCTGTCTTTCGAACTGCCTGCGCTGCGGGGCATGGTAGCAGAAGCCCTACAGCGATGCAGCATGAGCTCTGGTTTTGCACTTGATTATGAGGATTTTCCTAAGGAGCTACTTTATGCCACAATACCAGACATACTCATACAGTATTTCATTAGTAGTATTACATACTGTCTATATTTTGAGGTCTATATTCTAGGTAACTCATTAATGTATACACCTGAAGAATTTTTTTTATACATTAACTACTGGGAAGGAGAAGAGGTATATCTCAATTTTAATTCAACCCTTAAAGGAAAATGAATAAATCGAAATACTTGAGAGTGAAGCTTATTCCTTTAAAACTCAGGTTCTCAGAAATAGAAAGCAGGAAAAGCTTCCTAGTATTCTTTTGAGATACAATTCCTGGATTTTGCTTGAATTTCTTTTACTTAAATTCTTATCCCTAGTTCTGCTAATAATCTTGGAAGATTCCCCAATCCTGAAATAGTCACAAATTATACTCAAAATTACTTCAGTGTTTCCTCATTACAACCATATACAACTACAATGAGGTGTTATAAATGCCTGCTGGCTCCATGCAGTGCTGCTGCTGGGAAATGATTCTCACACCAAGTGTGACCAAAAGGGCTGCAAGTCACAAGGAGAAGCTGTGTGTGCACACACATGTGTGTGTGTATGTGTGAGGTTAATTTGTGTATGGAACCCCAGTGATAGATGTTACTCACTTAAAATCCCCAGCTTTATTTTCCTATGGGGCTGAAAAGTAAGGTCTTACTGCATCCCTTCATTTCTCAGTGGTCTCTCATTTCCACTGCTTTAATTTTCCACTGAAATCAATTTCTCAAAATGGAAATAAAGCTCTGCTATCAATGGTAGACTTTAAGTGATGTGAAGGGATCTTTTTTTTTCTAGTTCAAGTAATAGACTCCCCCAAATCCATTAGTGACAGTGGACCTATTTTCTAAAGGATTATCAAATTCCATCAAAATCTGTCATATTGTTTACTTGGTTCTCAATGAAACAAACACACCCAGACACTCAGGGGCCACAGAGAGTTTTAGGGATTCTTTTTAGGTCATTCCTTCCATCTGCATTAGCTATAAATGCAGCTGACGAGTGGAGTTATAGAGGAGAGTGGTCCTCAAACTTCAGTGCCCAGTGGGATCAGCAGAAAGGCTTTGGAAACACAGATTGCCAGGTCTCTTCTTCAGAGTCTGTGATCGGTCAGTCTGGGTTGGGGCCCAGTGAGTTGGGTGATGCTGTTGCTCCCAGTCTGGGGACAACCCTTTGACAACCCCTGGTACAGGAACATCTCTGATAAATAGCTGTTTGCGACGCTGTATTTCCTTTATTGATTCCAATTTTCATGGCTAAGCTTTTTGAATCATATTCTAGGCTGGATCCAGAAATGGAAGACAGCTTTCTGTGGCTTCAGAACCTACATAGCCACATCTCCTCTAACTGTCCTGGGGGAAATATTAGTAAAGAGTGCGATCCTCTTCTGGAAGAAGAAGCCAAGCTGTTTCTTGAGTCCCTTCCTCGCTTTTTCCCCACAAAATGATGTAATTTATTTAATTATTAATTGAAATAATTATTTTCAATTACAGTGATGTGCAATATTACATTAGTTACAGGGGTACAACATAGTGATTAAACATTTATGGCCCTCAAATTATAAACCAGTTAAGTCTAGAACCCCTTCTGACACCGTATGTAGTTATTACAGTGTTACTCCCTCACTTTCGTTAAACCACTTACTAAGAATTTGGAGCAAAATTCAAAAGGAAAATGACTCACAAAGGCTATCTGGAAGGGGAGGCTCCATCGGAAAGAACACTGGCGTACTCACCAGAGAGGATATATACCCAGTCGTGTGGTGATAAAAACCATGGCAAACATAACAAATAGGAGATCACAAATTTTCTGAAACTTGGCATAATTTGCCATTTTGGCAGCCTATAAAAGGAAAGAATATGACATATTAATTTAGTTAAACTGAAAAATAAAAAGCTTCTTTGAATATGCATGAGTCTCCTATAATTTATAACTTATTAGATGCATAAAACTTCCTGCTACTTTGAAATGCCATGCATCAGTATTCATAAATTACCCATAAGTCCAGTGAAATGCAGCATTAGCCATAAGTAGAACTATTGACTGTCACAGATTTAATAAAATATTCAGCAACCTGAAAAATGCAATTATATGCGTGATTTCAGGAAAATAGAAAAATAAGAAAATTCTTGCATTATAGATGATATTAGCAAGCCGACCATACCAAAACAGGAATTTAATACAACAGGTCAAAACAGAACATGTTATATAATCCTTTAAACCTTTAATGAATTCTAAACACTAAGACAACAGAATTTATATAGAATATATGAAGCCTTTCTGTATTTTTTCTTCTTTCTACTTAGAATTATAGGTTTTCTTTAAATAGGCATAAGGAATATTCTGGGGAGATAGTTTTTGACCTATTCACATAAATTTAGAACTGAAGAATGTGTCAGGATCATGGCTTTTCAATGACTCCATTTAGGTAAAATTTTCAATGTTACATGAATGGGCCATATTCTAGATGAAAGTCACTAGTGTTGCAAGCGTCTGTAAGAAGTACTGTAATATTTCTGGTAGTGATTTAAGTGACTACTTTTTAAAAAATATAATTTAATTTTTTTTAAACTTTTTTTTCCAGATAGAGGGGAAGGGAAAGAGAAAGAGAGAGAGATTAACATCAGTGTGTGGCTGCCTCTCACATGCCCCACACTGGGGACCTGGCCTACAACCCAGGCATGTGCCCTGACTGGGAATCAAACCAGCGACACTCTGGTTCGTAGGCCAGCACTCAATCCACTGAGCCACACCTGCTGGGATTAAGGGACTACTTTTTATACTATAAATTAATCTAGGGAAGAAATCACATCCCTTTCTTTACCATCTATTTGCAAATGATTCTAAGGCAAAACAAGTGACACTGAAAACATCATTTTGATTGGTCGCCTGTTTTTTACATTTTCACCAAGAATTCACAAGCACCTTCCCCACAGGGTGACAAATTGAAGATGCCTTCTGAATTCATAACATTATGTTCTACTTAATAGAAAGTTGAATTAGCTGAGTCAACTTGGAAAGACTGTTGTCCATAGAAGTTATAACTTAACAGCTTTAAGTAAAACACAAAGCTATAAGAGAACTCATTCCTAAGGGGAAGTATCAATCAACTGAGTGGAAGTTTTTTAATATCATGAATACTTTGGGCATGACACCACACATTACACTGAGAAAAAGCATCTTTTCCCTCCTTCTGGCTAAGCAGCCATGTAATTGTTTTTTATATTCATTCACCAGTATTTAATAAAAAAAGCATTAAGCATCATTTTTTTGGAAATGTCTAAGCCAGAGCTTCTACTTTGAAGAGCTGACAGTCAACATACCTTATTATTTGGATATTATCAGGAGATACTTTATAATACCAAAAAAGGATCCAGGTAATGAACAACGTTTGCTTTTAGCCACATGGCTGGAATTTCTGGATTGTTTTTCTTTTCTGGATTGAAATGGTACGTGATGATTCAACCAATGTTTTCAGACTTGTGGCTCTGCTGAGCATTATGCCAGCCATTTTGCCAGAGACTGGCATTGGCAGATTGTACAGGACTGATTTCAAGACTGTAGAGTACTGTATAAATTTCTACTTTGAAGCATGCTTAGGATTTAATCAAATGGTAACTGACTTTCAGGGTGTTGCCCTTATACTGATTATATTTCTCCTTTAAAAAAATGTGGAATAGAACCTACCATGAAGCACTTAAAAATCATAGTGCTGAGCTATCATCTGACATATCCTAGCCCATTAGGACTATTTTGTCTGTTTCATAAACTTACATGGACCAAGTTTAAAAAAAATGCTACATAGCCCCAGCTGGTGTGGCTCAGTGGATTGAGTGCTGGATTGTGAACCAAAGGGTCTCTGGTTTGATTCCCAGTCAGAGTACATGACTGCATTGCAGGCTGGGTCTCCCAGTAGGGGGCGCTCGAGAGGCAACCACACACTGACGTTTCCCTCCACTCCCCTCTCTAAAAATTATTATAAATAAAATATTTTAAAAAATAAAAATGCTATACATACATCACACCTTGACAGTTTTTATAAAAGATTCAGTTTCATGGTATGGGAAATCTTGGCTTTTATTTCAGTGACCGATCATTATTTGAGGGCACCTTTATTCTGTATCCACAGTGACAGTAGATGCTTCAAAGGGGCAGACTGTGGGCCAGCAGGAATAAAAAATCAGAATACAGATTCTAAGACCCATTTCTGAATGGATTTTTACTCCGATAAGTTTATTTTTGACAAGTTACATAAATTTCTTAGTTTAATGTGAAGTAAACTTTTATTTAATTATATAACATTATAGTGTGTAATTAAGAGTAAATACTACATCAAAATTTTGCTGAGGATTTTATCTTTTGAAAGACACCAAAACAAAAAAAAGAAAGACACTAGAAGCATTTTTCTTTTTACCCTACTTTAATAATTCTAAATGATGGAGGTTTGCAAAGTTATTCCAAGTGCAACCAGTGTATCCTCAGATACCTTTTATTTATATGTATAGAAAACAATTTTTATATAATTTGGAATTTGTATACTTTCATTGTAAAAAAGTAGATAATATGTATATTGGCAATAAAAACGATGACTACTAATCAATTTCATCAGCATGTACAACTCCCATTAACAACTGAATTGAATTATATACACTTTTTGGACAAATCAGTGTGAAACTTATAACACCAGAAATAAAATGTATTCAAGTAATACTTTTCCTAATGTAAAGCACTCATTTCTTTAGCGTGGAATAATAAAGGTATTCCTTATTTCATTAATACAGAATACTAACATGATGAGTATTTTTTATATAGAATTTATATACTAATTTAAAGTCTCACTTCCACCAATTTCAGCTACAAAGAAATACTCTGCAGTTTCAAAACAGGCATACACGACTATCCCCAGCTCCATTAGCACAACACAGAAGGAGTGATAATCTGTGGACCTTCCTCAATTCTAGATTTTGTACTCTTAAAGATGAAAAAAGTTTTTACCTCCAGGAGAGCATCAGCTGAATCGTGAAGACAGAGAACCAGGGTCCCTACTCGAGCCATATTGTTGACATATGAAAAGGTAATTAGGAAAATAGACACCAGGTGATGCAGGAACATAATGCCAAAGTCCTTGGGGAGGAAAAAACAGCCATGTCAGGGCTTAGCAGTACCACAGCATTTCCATTGATGTGTTCAACCGCTCCACCAATACTTTCTTGAGGCTCTCTATGCACCTAACACTGGGGATACTAGAGTGAGTAAGACACTCTGCAAGCTCACCGTATCATGGGAGAGATACACAGCAGACCAGTAATTATGGAGAATGCAATAAAAGTCAGGGCTAAGGCCAGATCATAAAGGGTGTTTTGTACCAACCCAAGGAATTTGATGCAATGGGAGAAATTACTGTAGGATTTTAAGCAAAGAAAGCCACAGCTTAAATCAGTATATACTTGGGGAAAACCTGTCAGGCAGCAGTGCAGGTCCAGCTGGACTACTTCTCTGACTCTTTCTGTGTCCATCTCCTGGAATATGCTCATTGGGCTATTAAAGCAAGAATAGTAATATATTGGCTTTTCTATGAATCCTACACAAACAAGCTCTAAATTTTAACCAGTAACTGTGTATAGTCATTATAAATTTAGCAAAAGTAATGGAACACTGGTTGTCTTTATTTTGGTTAACTTCAAGGGAACTACTTCTTGGCCCATGTGAAAAGATTATCTTTCTCAGATACTGTTTTATCTCCTGACCATCTGGACACCATTTCTTGTGATACGGAATTTCTGTTGCTTAGAAGCACGGTCTCTCTAAAAGAGGCGAAAGGCGGTGAGTAAATGGTGATGGAAGGAGACTTGACTTGGGTTGGTGAACACACACTACGATATACAGATGATGTATTATAGAACTGTATGTATACATGAAACCTATGTAATTTTATTAACCAGTGTCATCCCCGATAAATTCAATAAAAATTTTTAAAAAGAAATGCAGTCTCTTTTACTGATATTTTTACTCCCATTGAATCTTTATTTCTCTCAGAATAAACTTGAACTTCTCAGAGTCTTATATGCCAGGATTGGCTCTAATGGCGATTTACTTAAAGCCCTATACCATTTGTGTAAAAACCCAAAACATTAGCCAAAATGTAAAGCATATTATGAAGCTGAGAGAGAAAGGGAAAGAGACCAAGAGTGTGCACACACATCCTCTTTTCAGGAATGGTGAATGTCGCAGTTTGAAGTTTGTAAGGTCAACTTCAATGACTTTTAAATTGTTTTAAAACATTTAAACAACAGGCCTTGTTTAGATACTGAAAGTAAAATGATAATCTACAAGAAATAACATATTGCTCCTATAAGGTCTTTTTTGCCATTTATTTTATTGTATAGTTCCCATACTGAAAACATTTCCAATTATTTGACTTTAATTTTTATACCTCAAGCCTACAAAGCTATGGATATTTTTAATGTTTAAATTCCCATGATACAGACATCTTAAAATTGTCTCTTTAATGTTTTATAATGTCAAGCTCTAAAAGAAAATAATGAGGACTTCCGCCAAGATGGAGGCGTAGGTGGAAACCCTGTGCCTTCTCACACAACCAAGTTTAAAAACAACAAATTTTAGCAACAAAAACACAGCCAAACCACAGAAAATTGAACTATACTGATGTCTGACAACAACGAACCCTTCAGCCAAACCAGTAAGAGGGGCAGAGCCAGCAGCAGACCGGTCAGGCAGGAAAGATCCACCGGACAAACCCGGGCGTGTGACCCAGGTACGCCAGCAGCCGTGGGCAGATCCCAGGTGTGGAGAAATGGGCGGACACGCTGAGGGCTGATCACGGTTACACATTGGCTCGCAGATTAACTGGTGAAGGATCTAGCAGTGAGACGGACCACGCAGGCCCCAGCAGCAGGAAGTGGCAGAGAGGACTGCTATTGTCCCTCTCTGACCCCGCTCCCACATGCAGCATCACAAACCAGCGACCTGGGTAGCCCCGCCCTGGTGAACATCTAAGGTTCCTCTCCTCATATGTAACAGGCGCAAAAAGATCAAAACATGGCTCAAGAACAACTCAGAGCCCCAGAGCCAATAAATCTAAGTGATGAAGAAATAGCCAAATTTTCAGATGCACAGTTCAAATCACTGGTGATCAGGATGCTCACAGAACTGGTTGAGTTTAGTCACAAATTAGAGGAACATATGCAGGCTAAACTAATTGAAATGAAAAGAAATGCACAGGAAACCAATAGTAATGAAAAGGAAACTGGGACTCAAATCAATCAAGTGGACCAGAAGGAAGAAAAAAATGGCCAAACAAAAGGATGAAGAAATGAGAATCCAAAAAAAGGAGGAGAGGCTTAGGAACCTCCAAGACATCTTTAAATGTTCCAACATCAGAATTATAGGGGTACCAGAAGGGGAAGAAGAACAGCCATGAGTGGAAAACTTATTTGAACAAATAATAAAGGAGACTTCCGGGAAATCCAGGAAGCTCAGAGAGTCCCAAAGAACTTGGACCCAAGAAGGAATACACCAAGGCACATCATCATTACATTAGCCAAGATTAACATGAAGGAGAGAATCCTAGAAGCAGCAAGAGCTAAGGGGACAGTCACCTACAAAGGAGTTCCCATCAGACTGTCAGCAGATTTCTCAAAAGACACCTTACAGGCAAGAAGGGGCTGGAAAGAAGTATTCCAAGTCATGAAATCCAAAGACCTACATCCAAGATTGCTCTATTCAGCAAAGCTTTCATTTAGAATGGAAGGGCAGATAAAGTGCTTCTCAGATAAGATCAAATTCAAGGAGTTCATCATCACCAAGCCCTTATTATATGAAATGTTAAAGGGACTTACCTAAGAAAAAGAAGATAAAAAAGATGAACAGTGAAGGAACAGCAAACTCACAGTTATTAAGAACTACACCTAAAACAAAAGCAAACTAAGAGGACAGCTAGATCAGGAGCAGAAGCATAGAAATGAAGATCACATGGAGGGTTAGCAACAGGGGAGTGGGAGAAGGAGAAGTGGGGAAAGGTACAGAAAATAAGTAGCATAGATGGTAGGTAGAAAATAGATAGGGAGGAGGGCAAGAATAGTATGGGAAATATAGAATCTAAAGAACTTGAGACACGTGGTCATAAACTAAAGGGGGGAGTGGTGGGGGAGGGGGTGTGCAGGGTGGAGGGGAATGAAAGAGGGAAATAGAACAACTGTAATGGCATAATCAATAAAATATATTTAAAAAAATTAAAAAAGCAAAAAAAAAGAGAAAATAATGAAGTAAGGTTAAATGTGTATGTTTGAAGAAAAACCCACAATGTTTGGGTTCTGTATACACTTTGGAGAACATGTCCCAAGTTTACTTTTCTGCCTTGGAAAGTGCCAAACATTTATGAATAACCATGCATATTGATTTATTACTAGTCCAGTAAGCCCTCACTTAAGTGTGTTGATAGGTTCTGTGACTTTAAGTGAAGTGGACAATGAAACCAATTTCATCACAGGCTAACTGATATAAAGAAGAATTAGGTTCCTATAGCCTCTCATTGTTATAACAAAACGAATGAACAAAATGGTGTTATTTGCAGAGCTGCTGCAGTAGTTGCCTAAATCAGGTCAGATAATTTTTTCAATGAAGTGCATCTATGTCTCTTATTTTCAGTTAACTTGGCTGTACTGCACTGATGGTGAATATCATTGTTGGAAGAACCATCGGTCTTGCATCAGTTAGTTCTATCTGTCCGAAGTAGAATTCAGCACTGAGTCTTGCAAACTCCAGTCACCTGGTGACCCGCCACTATGCGCCTCCCTCTAAAAGCACGTCCACACCCCGTTCTCAGCTGTCTACCAGAGAGAGATGATGAGCATGCTCTGAGTGTAATGAGTGATTATGTATCAACTCGATTTACAAGATCTGTCTACTTTTCCTGATTTTGTTTTGATAGCATCTAAGATTTTCCTAAATCATTTAAGTTGGACAAGACCGAAATGCGTGAGGCAGTCAATAAAAATTGCTCTGATAGTGTTTCCCACTGGAATCGAGATCGTTCTCTCCAGGCTATTATACAAAACGTATTAGGTTCCACTATCCAGCAAGCAATAGCTATTTCAAAACAACAAATCAGTTAAAGTGGAGCTACCCTATCAACTGATATGTTAAATTATTTCTTGAACATAATGGAATGAAAACATAGCGTTTCACTCAACATTTTAGTGAGTTTATATTTGCCCATGGTCATTACACCAACTTCAGAGTGCAACCAGCGGAGCACCTAACCAGAATAATGCTTCCCCCATTTCCATTGTTCAGCCCTGAGTGCTTGCTCTTGATTCACTGAAAGAGAACAAGAGTTCTTCTCTATTTAATTTTAAAATGAATAAATATACATCGATTACAATTTACATTTTAATCAATCCACTTATGGAGGATTAGAACTATTTTATAATTAAGTTTCCTGATTTGCATCGGATATAAATGTCCATAAACACCACAAAGCCTGTCGATGCATCAAGGACCCTCCCAAAAATGAGAGCCTTATTTTTCAGTTTGTTTGGGAAGATCATTTCCGCACATACAAATCCTCTGCTCCTAGAAAATATTTACTGTTGAGGGACTCAGAGTTATGCCCATGGCACATGAATGATTTTCACTAGACAGTCATATCTGTACAGATATGAAAGAAGCAGGAATATTGAATTTTACCTTACATTTCTGTTTCAGAAAATCATGATACACAATGAAATACCTTAAATAAAAGCCACACGATAATTACTTTATGTGTTATCTCACCCTGACACATTTTTTTAAGTAGACACTAAATCTGGTCCAAATGAGAGTTTTTAAACAAATTGTGAATTTGGACTTCATCAGCGCAGGGCGGGACACACCCACCCTCAGGCGTGTTACTGCTGGAGCGATGGGTGTGTGCAGACACACACGCAGCTGCAGGGACCTCGGCATTGTAGGCTGAGAATGTCCCACTGCATTTTTAGTAGCAGCAATTATACAGAGGGAGTGGGAATTTTTGCTGTTTCTCAGACTGAAGACAGATTCCAAAAGCCCTTATTCAAAACAGACTGTCCTGGCCACCTACTTTTGTGGTGTCCCCAGCCCCCTAC